GATGTAAGGTATAGTATCATGTCTGAAACTTCAATTAATTCATAGTTTAAATAGCAAAATTCGATGGACGTACGATAAGCTTAGTGTATGTGAGGCATACGCTAGCCTGAACTATATATATATATTATGGTTCAGGCTAGCGTACGCCCGGGCGTACGTTAGACTACCGTACGCCCGTTTGAATTTTGCTATTTAGATAAGGAATTAACCGGAATTTTGGGCATGATACTATACCCTAACCACTAATGGATAAACCCCAGTCCCTAGTTTTCTAACCCAAATCGTGAGATTCGTTTAATCTTAAAATGAAAATCAACATTAATTTCGACGAATCAGAACCGTTGATTTTCATTTCAAGATTAAATGAATATTATTATTTGGGTTAGTGAATTGCGGACTGAGGTTCACCCATTAGGGATTAGGGTATAGTATCGTGCCCCAAACTCCGGTTAATTTATTGTCTAAATTGCAAAACTCAACGGGCGTACGGTAGGCTAGGGTACGCCCGGGCGTACGCTAGCCTTTGCCATATATATATATATATATATATATATATATATATATGGTGGCGTATTCGGCGCACCAACTTTTTCGGGTGCACTCAGTGCACCCGCCTCATAATTGTCATTCTGACCATGCGATTCATGTCAAAACGGTATCAATTGTTGCTTATGATATTATGAACAAGAAGCACATGAATTTGAAAAAAATTCATTCAAAATTTACTTTAATTTGAAGGATTTAGGGTTAGGGTTTAGGTTTACAATTTGGGATTTTGGGTTGAGATTCAAAATTGAAGGTTAAGGGGTTAGGGCAATGGATTGATTTGTTATGATTCTATGTCATATCATCATATTATATTGAGAGTACTAATTAAAGTTCAAAATTTGATGTATTATAGACACTTTTAGAGTTGAGTGCACCGAAGTAGCCACCATATATATATATATATATATATATATATATATATATTTAAGGTGAGTTCTTCGATGCATTGAGCTTTAAATGAATCTTAAGACATTGAATTTTAGATTTTAATTGGTAGCATTAATTTTATGTGATAATATAACATAGCACCACAACTAACCATAACCTTTAAACCTTCAAATTGGAACCCAAACGTTTGGGTTAACCCTCACCAAGGCACTAATCCAGTAGACGTTAGGGTATGCTTCCATATATATTCAGTATGTTGGTGAAAAATGGGAATGCTGCTTTGTCGAAGGGAGGTCCAAGATTTTATTACTGCTCTCGGGTAGACTAATGTGTATAGGTTTTATGTGTCTTTCAACAGCCAAGGTGGTGCAAATGTCACCCACCTTGGTGTAAGCTGCCTCTGCCACTGGCGTTACATTTACTGTGTTTTGACCAGGTGACTCGCATAAAGCTACACCGCTAATTAATCCCGACTAGAGCTCAAGTTTGTAAACTCTAGTCGGGTGCAGTATAGGGCAAGTATTTAATTGTCACACTCGGGTCGGTCCATGTACCCCTACTTCAATCGCTTAGGTTATTATCTAGCAAAACGATAACAAAGAGAATTCTATATGAGAGAACTTCACTTGGGTATTGCTTCTCCTAGTCCTGTATTAAGAAAGCATGAACGAAACTCTAGTGTGAAGGATGTGTTCATAAATCGCTAGGAGGGTGCAACTAGCTAGGGCAAACACTCCTAGTCGATCGATTAAGGCTTGTGACAAGAAGCTAGAGAATCTAGCTCTCTTAACCAACCAACCGAAGAAACCCTAACTCTCTTAGTTGACCAATTTATGATTTTTGCATCAAGTTAGTAGTCGAACTCCCTTAACCTTTCGGTTAAGGATGACAACAATAGGCTAGACGATCTAGCGCCTCTAAACCGGTCGACTAAGGATTGTAAACCAATCCCTCAGAACTTTAGCCGGATGGCGGAAAGAAACCAATCATGGTACTACTCCGATACTTGAGGTTTTGGCCCTAGATTAACCTAGAAGGGGTTACTCGAGAGGCTAGGAGGTCAAGCTCCCTAATCTCTCACTAGAAACCCTCCTTTATTCTGAAAACTAAAACCCTAGGAAAAGCTCCCATTCTTCCTCCTTCTAGCTCTCATTTTATATCCAGTCGCGCCCAGTTCATGGTCCCAATTCATGGCTGTGACCTAATGGTGGGGACCGTGAACTCAGGCCAAGACGCGCGATTTCATTAAGCCAGTTCGCGGTCCATGGCTTCAGTTCACGGTCTTGTGACCGTGAACTGACTCGGCGTCAGTAACCACTGAAAACTCTCTGGAATCTTGCCAATTCGCGGTTTGTGGCTCCAGTTCACGGTCTTGTGTGACTGTGAACTGCAGTTGCTTCCGCCGTGAACTGCAGCTGCTTCTTGGACGTCTGCGCTTCATGGTTACGGGCTTTGGACTTTTCTTCGGTTTCTGCGCTTTTTGACCTCCAATCGTCCAGAAACTCGTCCTCGACCCTTCCACACGTGCTAGGGCCTGAAATGTATCAAAACAAGCACAACCTAGCGTGAAATATGTCGAGGGACGATGAAATGCAAAGTCAAACTATCATGAAATGAGGGGTAATATGTGTACAATTGGACCCGAATCACCAAGATCAATAATAATGTAAAAAAAAAAAAAAGATTTGTGAATTCATCATCAATTGGAAGATCATTTCACAACCATATGATCCTCGATTGGCCAAGGCATTTCAACTTCATAAATTTCACATGGCTTTTGTTGATTTTTTAGTTTGATGCATATGAATGTTTAGGCTAAATATCGACGAGTATCTAACATTTTCTTCAACTTAGAGAAAACAACCTCACGTAGATAATTCAAATTATCATATTAAATATCGCATTGAGTCAACTTAATTTCAACTTAATTCTCTATTTGATGAATGTATAACTCCAGAAACTTAGAAGTTGAATCTTTCAATGCATTAGACTATCTGAATGATGGTAAATTTTTCTCCATTTAAAAGCACGTATAACTCGCATTCCTTCAAACTATGATCAATCTTATTACCCGTATAAGTATATTTAAAGATATCATTATAGATCTTAATACACTCTTCAAAATACTTTGCATCTTTGTTGGTAATTGATGAAGTCGTCAAGAGGCATAATATTTGATTTCCCCTTATCCACAACAAAGTGAGGCTTTTGGAGTGACATAATTATCTTTCGTGAAATACTTTTTATTTTCGACATAACAATACACAACATGGACATTTACTTGAAGAAGGTCCAAGAGTGAAATAGTACATGTTTAGTAACTAAGCACTCAAGAAATAAACATGTACTAAATAAACGAAAGAGTTAGATAATTACATCTCAAGAGCATCTAATCAATGTGTAGTTACAACCCTACACCGCCAAACTATACAACTCTAGTTTACATTACCCTTTTATGAATTAATCAAAACAAAGTTTTAGCTATGGAGCACTCTGGATGAGCTTTATATTACCATCCAATATAAGTCCAATAACAAACATCGGAGAAAGGACAGTGGCAATTGGCAACAACTATAATGTTCCTCATTGTAGCTATAGCATCCATCATCGTTAGAACTATAGAGGCTTGACCTTTACTTCCCTCATAGACATTATAATAAATACATCACATAACATAGCTTGTGGTAAACATAAAGCAATCGATGTATTTTATCGGATAATGAAGTTTCACTATTTTTAATTGATTGGAGAGGAACGATTGTATAAATCTGAATGAGATATCTATGTAGAATGAATTTCAGAATGATGGCATCCTGAGCTAAGTTGAAGTACAAATATATGCGGAAATGTGGCGTCCATAGTTGTTCAATCATTCACAGTCACAGGCCAGCAATTAAGTAGAAGAAAAAAACTGAGAGTAATGGAATTTTAATGGATTCATGAACAACCGAGACCTGAACAAAGTTAAAATACAGATGTCTACATAAAGGGGGCAGTGTTCGTTGGAGGTAAGGCTAGAAAGAAATTAATATTTTTTTTTTATGAATGGTTATAGGGTTGGGGAAGTCGAAATACATAAAACGTAATTGGATTCTTATTAAAAAAAATTGGAAGATAAAAGGTAATTTTTGTGAAGATTGGGGTGCAATTTAGGTGCATAACCCTAAGTTTATGCATAATGTGTAGTACTTTAAAATACAAGTCAAGTTTGTCTATCATTAGACTACATGACTATTACACACAAAAATTTATGGAATAAGTTCTACTTATAAAATTAGTACTAAATATCCTTACGATCCTAGGGGCCAGGACCAATCCGGGGGGAGACCCACCCTACCTTAAGTGTAGCTCCGCCCCTGATTTCAACTCGAATTTCATATTTGTTTGCTTTGAAAAATTGAATTAATAATACTACATTAACTGACATTCACTCTCATATTTGAAGTAATAAATACGCTAATGGAGGCGTCATATATCATGGTGGTAAGCATGATTATAAAAAAATTTAACCAAAATAGACCATTACATTAACTGACATTCACTCTCATATTCGAAGTAATAAATACGCTAATGAAGGCGTCATATACCATGGTGGTATGCATGATTATAAAAAAAATTTTTTAACCAAAATAGACCAAACTAGATATTTCGTTGATCATAGTTATGATTCATATTTTGTTTATAATTTTTTTGAAATTTAACTTAAAATGAAGAAAATACAATATAATTGATAAAATGAACGAATCCATGAAAATGAAATGAGTTATGTAAGAAAAGAGGAAAACAATCAAATAAAATTGCATTACAAAAAAGTCGAGACGTAATTTTTAATAAGTATGTAAGAAGACAAGAAAAGAAGGTCAATGCCAAAAAATAAAAAGCAAAGAGGTTAGAAATTGGAATTATATTAGATAAAAGTAATAATATCATTTTTAGTGATGAATGTTGAATTTAATCTGTCGAGATGATAATTACATGTATGATTTATTATGGTGATAAACTTCACAACAATCAACAATATTCTCGCACATATAGATATGTGATATATTATGGTGACACATAGCTCAAATATATTGATATAGTTGACTAATTCTATGATGTAAGAAAATGCCACGTGAATAGTAGGGATGGCAACCCTAACCGGAAATCCGGGTGCCCGCCCGAAACCGCACCAGTCAAACCGGGGAGAAACCGAGTTGATCGGGTGACGGGTCGGGGACGCGCAAACCCGAACAGTTGACGGAGCGGTGATGGATTCATCACTATCCGCCCTGTAACCGCCCGACAACTATACGTCTCTTCCGATTTCCGAATTCCAATCACCATTCCCAGCCTCCGTCGAAGAGGCAGCCCAACTGCAGCCGCAGAACCTAGTTTGAACTCCCACTCCTCCCTGCAGCGGATATGGGAAAAGCCAGGCGATTCTACCTCTCCTCGATTCTCCCACTCCTCGACTCAGATATAATGTCGAAGTGACGGAGGTCGGAGGCGATGGAATCAGGAACTGACGGGGGCGGGGGCGATGGAAGAAGGGGATCTGCGGATCAGCAACAACTGCTCTGATCCTTGCCTCTTTCTGTCTTCTTCTCTCTTTCTACACAACGATGGTTGGTGGTGCAGCCAAGAATGGGAGCTTCGCGACGGTGGACTGGAGGAATGGCGAAGTCCCCGCGGGGTTTTGGGTAAACCCGTTATCCGAGGTCGGGCGGGTGGCGATGGGATTTTTGCCCCCGAGGTTGCGGTTGTGGGTGGTTTCTCCGACCCGGGGAGGTCTCGCGGGCGGGGAACGGATGCTGGGAAACCGTCCCCGATCCGCCCCGTTGCCAACCCTGGTGAATAGATGAGTGTGATCATTTTTACTTAGCAAGAGAATATTCTTACTTCATAATATTATCTCCAACTAATGCAGTAAGCACACAAAATGTTATTATGTTTTCTAGTAAATCATAATATAAGTATGTTAGTCCTCATATTTATTATCTTACAGAGCAAATGTTTATGTTTTAATGTTATGTAATACTAAATAGGGTTATTCTTTATTTCTCATTTCTCCATTTAAAATGAAAATTACATGAAATATTAAATACAAATTCAAATATGGGCAGTAACCAAAATTTATTTTCCACTTAGTTAATTTATTTATTTATGAATGTGTTCGAACATTGTTAATGATTTCTTATTATGAAAGAAAATATAATATACAACTTATCCATGATATTTTCCTAGTACAATTTATGTAGAAATTAAAGTCAATGTTTTTTAAAATGTAGTACGAGGTTAACTGATAAGGTAAAAATATCATGATAAGATCTATGATTTTAACCTCATTTCATAACATGACTAGTAATATTATTGTGCTTAATATCATCAAATAGAACTTAGTTTATTGGTTAAATTTGTAAGACATAATAATGATTTGAACTCATAGTATGCAAGTTCTAATCTTAGTGATGATGATTATATGTTTATCTAGTTTTAGCTTGATGAAACTTAATAAATTATTAAAAAAAGAAATAATTTATATGACACAAACATTTGTGAATCATATTAAATCCTATGTGACTAAAACTTACTCTAAAATGGTTATAATATATAAATTAAGATGTATAGTGCTTAAAATCCACTCGGTTGGATCTTAGATCTTCATTCAAATATTTTAGGTTTACTGTATATGAGTAATGTCGGATCCAAGTTTTAGGTTTAGAACTCAACTCCATCTCAGTAACTTGGTTTACATGTTGTTAGTTCTAGAAAATGTAAGTGAACTCAACATACACAACTCTTGCGTTTGAATAGATATGAGGAACAACTCTATATAGAAAAGAAGTTGTACAAAATTCAATCACTAAGAAGGTAAAACAATAAGAGTATTGGGAGGACACTCTATCTTTCATGTCACGATATGACGATTAAATCGATATTATAATGATTTTATTGGTCTATTTTTGGTCTATCTTGAATCATGAAAGGAATACGAGCTCTGAGCTCAAGTGGTCTGTATAACTACGAATTCAACCCACATAAAAGGGTCCTTGATAATATCACTATCCAACAATTTTTGGCTGTTGTTTCTTCTCATGATCATCCCCCATTTGCCAAAACGACATCCACATCAAGAGTGGAGAGGGCAGACACAAAGATCCAATACTTCTTTTACGTGACTATGGCAACTCCTTGTATGGATCTTCAAGTTGCAACTAGGGCTTGTGTACCTGTTTAGGGTTGTGGCACTTCCTCAACTAGCTTGGTTACTTTGTCGAATATGTTATTTGTTCCTCAATTAGTTACTAGTCTCATTTTGGTTGGTCACTTGGCAGATAAGGGGTGTGAAGTCACCTTTAATTCTGGCGGTTGCATTGTTCAGGATAAAAAAGGGGGAAGGTTCTCGGGAAAGGAAGTAAGCATGGTCGAGTCTTCGTTTTGGATGAGTTGCAACAGTTGACGTTGCATGAATTCGTTCAGATTAAAGGTGGAGGATCGGGTGTTGGCAATCAAGGTTTCACGGTGAGCGACGTGAGTCTGCAACAAGTTAATAGAGTTTCCTTGTCTTGTTCTGTTGAGACTTTGGATTGTTTGGGTCAATTTTCTGTTGTTGGGTCATTGGGTTATTTAGTTAGACCTTTGATTTTTTTTTTGTTAAGGCTTCGATTTGGAACTTGTGGCATTGTCGATTGGGACACCCACATCCAGCTCGTTTATTGAATATGTTTTGTCAGACTTACTTCTTTATAAGTTTCTTTCCTCCTAGGTTCCTCGGTGAAAGTGTCTGAGTTAAATAGAGGCGAAGACTTCATCGTTTTCTTCTGCTTGAAGTGATACGATGTATGGGAATTCTTCTACGTAAGACTGTAAAGAATTTGTTCAAATGGTCAAGACACATCTTGATAAGACTGTAAAGATTTATGTTCTGATCCAGGTGGCGAGTACTCATCAAATGAATTGTCTGCTTTCTACAAAATGGAAGAGATCATTCCCCAACAGTTTGTGTAAGAGTTTCACAACAGGACTAGTAGAACGTAAAAATCAACATGTTATTGAACTTAGAGAGCTCTCTTGTTTCACTCTTGTGTACCACCTCGATTCTGGGTTCATACTACATTCTACTTAATCAACTGACATATCACACATGTGTTGGGACAAATCACTCTGTATTAGTCCTTGTTTGGTAAGTCATCGATTACTCTACGAGTCTTTGGTTGTGTATGTTTTGTGTTACTTCCTCGCAAAGAACGTCATAAGCTCGCCTCAAAAATAGCTTGTTGTACTTTTTTGGGTTATATCGACAAGCATAAGGGTTATTTATGTTATGACCAATGACATAGCTACTCCCACACTTGGGGGGGTGTCTGCATCCCCCTTGGAGGAGAAGGGGGAGATGAGAAATAGTTCAACATGGAAAGTAAGTAACATAATCAAAATGTTGACTCATGACATGACAATCCTCCTTACTAGAGCAACTAGCTAAGTTTTTATTGTTAAATACACATTATGTTTCATTTAGCTTATTAAGGTTGTATCCAAGAATCCTCATTCCTTACAATTCTTTTTCCTTTGTCGCTTATATAACTCCGCAGACAACAGTCTCACATGCACCCAATAGAGCAGCAACCCTACACCCTCTTCCAAGCTTTTTCATAGGCTTGTTTTGCATAATCAATTGCAAGGTACTTCTAAGTTATGGTTTTAATTTTATCGATGAACTAATGTTTATATTTGATGTTGCAACATCGTTGGATCACCCCCTTTCGATGACAGCTTTGCACCCTCTTTTAGTCTTCAATAGAGGTAGATTTGCGTTCTTATAATTTTCGTTTAAGTCTTGCTTTCTCTTACTTAGGAGCAAGCATCCTGGACCACGTCTGAGAGATTTGAGAAACATATCAAGAACGATATTCGAAACCAAATGAACAATGAGTGACTGAATGATGCGTTAGTAGCATATAGTGAGCAAGATCTATCATCTATGTACTAGTTTGGACAAGGAATTATTGGAGGAGATGACTTTTGGCCCATATTAGAGGCAATTGTCCTAGAATGAAGTCGTTTTCTTAGTGGAGACGACATATGGATCCGTAAATTCAATTCGCTAACCTATAAATTCAATCCATTTGCTACCGCTAACTATGAATTATGTTTAATTAAGTTGGGACCCGTGGTATTAGGGATGGCAACAAAACTCGAACCCACGGGTACCCACCCGACCCAACCCGGTCAACGCGGGTAAAATCCGTGTTGACGGGTTTTGGGTCGGGTTTGGGTTTAAACTCGTTCACTATTCACCGGATTGGATTGGGTTTGGGTTTATGTAAACCCGACCCATGGGTACCCGCCCACACCCATATAATTAATTTTCTCGATATATTTAAACAACTAATCTTATTTATGTTTGTGGAGACATGTCTAATTTTTTCTTTCCAATTGTGTAGAATGAAGTTGATGTTATCGAGTGGAGAGTGAAGAAACTTAATTGAAAGGAAGAAGCTTTCAATTAATCATGTTATTTATGGATAATTTGTGATTTGTTTCAATTTTCTTGAATTTTCTAGATTGGTGTTGAACAATTTGTATAGTTAATTTGTGATTTTCTTGAATTTTCTAGAATGATATTTTATATATGGATAATTTGTATTGAGAGATTGATATTTGACTTTAATTTTGATAGGAACTTGTTATTGTAAATTTTTTACGATAAAAACCCGTGGGTACCCTTGAACCCGCGGATACCCAGCGGGTTGGGTTGGGTTTGAGTTTTCAAACCCAGTGGGTTTTACTCCGAATTTTTTTCACGGATAAACCCATAAATTTGAGTTTGAATTTGGCAAAACCCGACCCAACCTGACCCATGGCTATCCTTGCGTGGTATCCTCCGGTTTTATTCTTCACTAATACTGTAGATAGGGGCGCTTTCACTACTTGTGTCAAGAACCAGTTGCTCCAATAACTTGAGTTGTTGGGAGAAGGTTATGCTTGATCTTATACAGGCTCATGTATGGTACTTAACCACTTCCTTACACGCCCCCTCAAACGAAAGCCGACTCATGGGCTTGGAGTTTGCACAGGCCCGCCATACCATGTGCTAGAAAGACAACGGTTAATATTGAGGGTCGTGAGGACTTGAACACGTGACCTCAAGGACAAACCAGACTCTGATATCATGTCAAGAACCAGTTGCTCCCAATAACTCGAGTTGTTGGGAGAAGGTTATGCTTGATCTTATACAGACCCATGTATAGTATTTAACCACTTCCTTACAACTTGAACCATTTTCTCCCAAAAGAAAAAGAAATGGAGAGGAAAAAAAAGAAGAAGAGAACAGATGGCGAAGTAGCAGAGAAGAGGAGGTGGAGATCTGAGACAGAATAACAAAATAAATCAAAGGGAGGAGAAAGAAAGACGGAGAGTGGTAGTCAAGCGGCTCAAACAGTGTGGTTAACAGCAAAGCGCCTGCCAATCCTGCTTCCCTCCCAATCCTTCCTTAAATCAAAATTTTAAATTAATTCCTCCCATTAATTAGTCCAAATCCCCCAAATTAATCCTCCAAGAAAATTATTTAAATAGGCACTTTTTTCCTCGGAATTCAAATCTCTCTTCTTCCTCTCTCTACAGTCTCCACCACGCCCACACTCTTTCTAATTTTTATCACTATCCAAAATTGTAAAATATATTAAACAAAAATAAGTGTAAAAACAATAATCCCAAACGTCGACACATAAAAGACAACCCTCACTTGCCCTGCCCGATCCCTCCACTCGCTCACTAAATAATACCCAAATATATATAAATAAATAAATCCAAAACTAAAATAAATCTAAAAAAAAAGTTGAGCTGCTTTAGCTCTCTATTTCTCTCCCTAGGTTTACATCACTAAACACAAGTGCTTAACTGTTTCTCAGCTCTAATTTCCTCTCTCTCTCCCTTTCTTTTTCATTACACAAAAATACAGACAGTCAGATTTCTTATTTATTTAATTCCTCATCTCTCTCTCTCACTTCGTTTCATATCTCAAACAGCAGCAGCAGAGCAAGAGAGAGAGAGTGTGAGGCAGAGAGAGAAAGAAGGCGAAGAAGAGAGAAAGGAAGGAGAAGAAGAAGAAGACGACATCGCGATACAGTTTATAGCAGGAAACACTCCACAGAAACAAACAGGAACCTCTCCCCTTCCTTTCTCTTCCTTCTTCCATTCCCAAACGTCTGTGTTGGCATTTTTTTTGGATCTACTGCCGCATTTGGATGTGAGGGCGATAAATAGGCGCGGGAGGAGGAGGAGGAGCAGCTGAAATACTAACTTCGATCAGATCGGCAGATGGCGGACGCTTCCGGCGAAGGCGAGGCGTTCCCCTTGCTGAACGGCGGTACTCCTGTATTTGCTACGAATGCTGCTGTTGGAACGCCGACTTCGGCGGCACCGCCACTGGCGCCGCCGCTCACGGTGTCGGGATCCTTCAAGGAAGGTCCCAAGAGCTCGTCGAGGAGGAGGACGGCCGCCGTCAGGAGGAGCTTCGACGCTGATAATGAGTTCATGACCTTGCTTCACGGCTCGGATCCGGTCAAGGTCGAGCTCAATCGGCTCGAGAACGAAGTTAGAGGTGCGGAATGTGGTTGGATCTAGTCCATATCTCAGCTGATTTTCTCCCCCTCCGATTCCGCTTCTGGATTTGCTTCTCTCTTCCTTGCGCTAATTTTCCGCACTTTCTAATTTTTGAAAGCGTAATGAACAATTTTCGTTGTTTTTTGTCCCCTTTTCCTTTTCCCCCTCCTTTTTGGTGTTTGTGGTTCCAGATAAGGACAGAGAGCTTAGCGAAGCTCAAGCGGAGATCAAGGCGCTGAGGCTATCGGAACGACTTCGAGAGAAGGCCGTTGAAGAGGTCTTCCACTTTCCTTTTCGGTCAATTTTGTTGTTGTTCCTTTTGTTTGTCGTTCTTCCTGGTTTCCTGCAACTTACGCTCGTTTTAGCTTCTTCTTTTGATTTGTCTTGTATATCTTTTCATTACATTTGAGCTTCTTTAGCAGCGCCATTAATAGTAATTTAGCATTTCCGAATTAGCTTGTAAGACATTCTTGATGGATTGATTCTTGACGCGTTGACACGATCTATTTAGAGAAAATGTAGATCGTTTCTAGTGCTGGTTGAAAATGAAATATGTTTGCTGGGGATATCTCATTTGATTTGCTGAACCAGTATAAGCAGAATTGAGCATGGTTGCTCTCTGTTGCTGTGGTTTAGTCCCTCAATCTCGGTACAGAAGTTCTCAGGAAGGTCGAATTATCTTTATACAAATCAGTTACATGGGTGATACGAGTAGCATTCAGTGATAACAGTTTCTCATTTGCTGGGTGGTTCATGTTGATTTTTTGTTTCATGGTTTACTTGTACTATGCTGTTTCAATGTGTTTTTCGCATGTTGCATCACTAAGCTTAAAGAATTTGGTTATGAAATCACATTTGGTAATCAACTTTATTGTTACCCTTTTTGTCTGAAAATAGAAATTTACAAAGTTGAGTTAATGAATTCCACTACTAGGGTATGTATTTCCAGATTTTGCACGTAATTGATATATATTAGTGGAAACTTTCGTAATCCAAGTTGATTGTATATAAGTAGCTTACTTGTTTTGCGGCTTGATTCTGATTGCTGATTCTGCTTTCCTTGCTTCCATTATTCCCCAGCTCACTGATGAACTCTCAAAGGTGGATGGAAAGCTGAAATTGACCGAATCCCTTCTAGAAAGCAAGGTATTACTTGGATTTTTTTGGGTACGTCTTCATCATCTCCTATGTTGCCATCTTCTCTGATTGCTTGAATGAAATTCATTTGCAGAATCTGGAAATTAAGAAGATCAACGATGAGAAAAGAGCTTCCATGGCTGCTCAGTTTGCAGCTGAAGCTACTCTCAGAAGAGTTCATGCTGCTCAAAAGGATGATGATATGCCTCCAATAGAGGCTATTCTTGCTCCTCTGGAGGCTGAGCTTAAGCTTGCTCGCTTGGAGGTCTGCTTTTATCCAATTCATTATTTCTTAAACTGAATCCTGTTGCAGAATATTTGGCTAATTTTGTCAGTTTGTTGCTCTCAGATAGCAAAACTTCAAGATGATAACAAAGCATTGGATCGACTAACCAAATCGAAAGAAGCTGCATTGCTTGAAGCTGAGAGGACTGTTCAGGTTGCCATGGCTAAGGCCTCCATGGTGGATGATCTCCAAAATAAGAACCAGGAGTTAATGAAGCAGATAGAAATTTGCCAGGTAGTCCCTACGATCTTCTCTGTGCTGGAAACTTTAAATGTTGCCACTTGGTTTTTGTTGGTGTACCCACCTTTTATGCACTGACATGGACACTGCTCATGTATCTTAGGAAGAGAATAAGATTTTGGACAAAATGCATAGGCAAAAGGTTGCTGAGGTTGAAAAACTTACACAAACTGTAAGGGAACTGGAAGAGGCAGTGCTTGCTGGTGGTGCTGCAGCCAATGCTGTGAGGGATTATCAGCGGAAAGTTCAAGAGATGAATGTAATGTGGATTTTTTGCTTCCTCCATTACTTTTCACTAGATTCCTTCTGGTAGCATCTTGTTTGATTATCCTGGAATATATGATGTGTGCTAATGTGTCTTGCAGGAGGAAAGGAAAACCTTAGATCGGGAATTGGCTCGAGCAAAGGTAACCGCAAACAGGGTGGCAACAGTAGTAGCAAATGAATGGAAAGATGCTAACGACAAAGTGATGCCTGTAAAACAATGGCTTGAAGAGCGGAGGTTTTTGCAGGTTATTACTGAGTTTCCTTTGTTTGCTTCCAGCGTTAGAGCTTTCATTAGCGTTCTTGCACTAAGGTTTATGAACTCTTGCATCTCTGTAGCACTAATAGGTTGGTCAACACTGTTGTTACAGGGGGAGATGCAACAACTCCGCGACAAACTCAACATAGCTGAGCGAACTGCAAAATCTGAAGCACAGTTGAAAGTATAACCATAACTCTTCTACCATCTTCGCCTCATTGACTCTTTTAATTTGAATATGCTATAAGTAACCGTATGTTCTGTGATTTCAGGAGAAATATCAGTTGCGGCTCAAAGTTCTGGAAGAGACCTTGAGAGGGTCTTCAAGTAGTAGCAGTCGCAGTGCATCAGATGGAAGGAGTGCAAGTAATGGGCCATCACGGCGCCAATCCTTGGGCGGAGCTGATTACCTATCGAAATATACCTCCAACGGCTTTCTCCCCAAGAGATCTCCATCAACCCAGAGAGCTATGTCTTCTAGTACCAGTGCTGTGCTGAAGCATGCTAAAGGAACATCAAAATCATTTGATGGGGGCACGAGGTCACTGGACAGGGGTAGCAAAGTCCTCCTCAATGGAGGTAGCCCAAACTGTTCATTCAACCAGCCCACAGATGTTTCCAAGGATACAGAGGCCTCAAATACTTGGAAAGGAAATCCAGATGAGAAGCCTGCGGACTTCCCTCCAGTAGACAGAGAAGACAAAGTTCCTGGGATGTTGTATGATTTGCTGCAGAAAGAGGTTGTTTCTTTAAGGAAAGCTGGTCACGAAAAAGATCAAAGCCTCAAAGATAAAGATGATGCCATTGAGGTTTCACTCTTTCCTTGTCTTGTGATAAATAGTCCTTGTTCTGGTTAAATCCTCATATGTTGTTTTATGATATTTCCAGATGCTAGCAAAGAAGGTAGAAACATTATCCAAAGCTATGGAGGTTGAGGCAAAGAAGATGAGAAGAGAAGTAGCTGTGATGGAGAAGGAGGTTGCTGCCATGCGAGTGGACAAAGAACACGAAAATAGAGCAAAGCGGTTCAGTCACTCAAAGAGCACCGTGTCTGCTGCCCACTTGCTTCCTGGAAGGTACTACTCGCAATCATTTTCATTTTCCCTCTCGAGTGTTAACCCTCTTCGATCCCCACTTTTCTCTAGATTAGCTGTCTAAGCTGCGCGAGTCTTCAACTTGCCTGTACAAGTGAGGAGATGCGATGTCTGTTCTAGGTGGTTTGGTTGTTAGAGGAAACTAGCTAACATAAGTTTCCTGTGCATGGCAGAAGCGTAGGACGTGGCGGGTTAACACGCAGCACTCAATAACACATGTAGAAGTCCATGTCTCAGCTTTTGCCAAATCAGCAAAGGAGTGAATGAAAACGTCTTCTTCTTCTCCCTCCCCTGGGTACTTTATATACATCGTCGATCCGCTCTTCTCTTGGTTCTGCCGTTGGTAACTCTTATGGTTTGCATGCCGATATCCTCTACTGCTGGTGCATAGGGGGAGGACGATGATATCGTTTCCCAAAGTATCGGCCTGCTGCTTTCTGACATAGAAACTACTTGTATTTCCTCCCCCTTCTGCCTTAGATATATATATATATATATATATATATATATCATCAGAGCACAAAAGCAAGGTTAGCAAGCAAGACATTAGAGTTTTGGGGGGCAAGGCTAACCCAACCTCATTGTCCTGGTCAGGTTCCTGTTGTTCTTTCCTTCCTTCACTTTGGAGTGGGGCAAGTTTGTGTGTGTGGTTGTATAGGTGGTAGCGAGAGCGCCATTGGCTTTCAATTTTTATCTCCCCCCCTTTTTTTTTTCTTCTCTTTCTCTAAGTTACCACCCGCCTACCATTTTGCAGTTTATAACGATTTTGTGTTCCCCTCTCTTTCAAGTTTTTAGTTACTACTTGGTAGTAGTGTGGTTGTCGTTATTTCATCAGGGTTTGTTAATATTTTGTAATTCAATATTATTATTATTACGATGATTATTATTATTATTATTATGATCATGATCGAAGGTAAGGTACCTCTGTTTTTGCTGGGATGAGAAATAAACATGGGTGATTTGTTGGGATGAGAAAGAAAGCAAAAGAGGATTGAAATCCCGATCACGTATTTGCCGGAAGTGGAATAACAGGCAGCGAGCGAGCTGTAGTTTTCATGCGACGGTGATTGGGACATCTCAGCTGCGACTGCCGCCACATCCTCTTGATGCTGTCGCTTTCTGTGTGCCTGTGGGATATGGGAGTAATAAGCTAAACGTATATATGATTGTTTAAGCCGGTTGGTTAATGTTAGGTCCGCGTCTCTCGGGGTGGGTAAGAAAGAAAGAATGGAGCAGTCTCTGTGTTGTGGAGTAAAGCTCGGTTCTCTTCTTTCTCAGTTATCAGTTTGGAGGGTAATGCAAACATTGCACTCCCCTTTGGCAGGCAGTCAGTGGTTTGTATGTTACGTTCCTGACATCCAATACATACACTAACTGACATTGCCAACTATGACCTGTCTGTCTATCTATGCTTTAAGGAAGTTCAGTTCAGTTGACATGATATGGGTCTATTCCATGTGTGCTTAGATTCAAAAGTGGAGTAGATCAAGCAGAGCATGTGATGTGGGTTCTAGCTAGCTAACGCGTGTGGAATAAACAAGAGTTTGTGAGTTGGAGAATGGGGGGAGTAGAGAACTGAGAACTCCTCTGGATTATTCTTTTCTTTCCTTGTACGTGAACGGTGGGAAGACATCCTTGTTTCAAAAGATGCAAAACTAATAACCAAAAGGCGTTTTGCATAACGTCGTTAGTAACATGTGATATAAGCTTAATTACTTGTCATTGCCCAATAAATCAAATGGATCAAATGGATTGGTGGATTCATAGATTTAGATCAAATGGATTGGTGGATTGATCTATGAATCCAAATGACATTCAAGTCTTGGACCATTATGTAAATTTTGAAAAGTTTACGTGCTAAAATATCATTATGAAAAATTCTAGGTACCAAAAAGGTAATTTTCCAATAATATTTCTCGTATAAATAAATAAATTTTAGATACCAAAAAGTAAAATATAAAAACAAGAGTTACTAATCCGTAATTTGCCATTTAGATCTAGTGGATATTTGAAAATGATAAATTTTATAAATTAACCAAAATTATCAAATTAAATTTTATAAATTTTAATAATATGATATAAATTATATATTTTATTTTTGGGTAATGTTAAATATATAAAATAATTTGATAATTTTTTTGTTAATGTATAAAATTTATCATTTTCAAATTACACAAAAATTAAAAAATAAATATATTTTAGGTTTTTTATAAATTTTTTTTTTAATTTGATTATAAATAATAAAAATTTAAAAAAATAATTTCAATTTGAATTTTTTAATGATTTTTAGGATGACGAGGCAATGACATGGCGTGTTGACTACCAGTCAATAGTGTTGACCATCCAAATTGACGGTCAAACTAGGTGTCGGGCCAATTGAGTCTATATGTTACATAGTTGAGGTTAGGATGTTAATTTCTGAAACCACAGGCCAAAGTTGATTATATGGTCATAGTTGAGGCCAAAATAAGGTATTAACCCTTCATAAAAAGTTATGCGCAATCAAAAAAACTTTATAATGTTTGGATTGAGGAGCAAAAAGTTATGGTCTTCCAATGTTTGGTAAAATAAAAAAAATTGCTCGTTTAGGGTAGCAAACGACATTTTTTTGGGATGAAGGCTTGTTGCAGATTGAAAGATCTTGAGTAATTATGCGCAATAAAAAGAATCGCTACAATCGGATAACCGAGCCAAAGTTACATTCGTTTGAAATTTCAATGTTAGGTCAGACATTCACCGCGGCCGTCAACAGCGATGATGCATTCACCGCTTTCGTCTGCCGTGGAGAATGCATTCACTGCGGTTGGCAGCCGCAGTAATGTTCAAACATATGTAGAATTTTTCATAAAACTTTTGTATTTTGGAATTTTTTCCAGGAAAACACTGCAGCTTGAATTTTCAAGGCCATAGTTTTCCGTGCAAGGGACGACACACCAAGAGAAGCTCCCACTTGAGATAGATCATCACCAAGCTCCTTTGGAGAAAGGCTCTCTCAATCGTCAACTTCACTTAGCAGCTGTAAAATTTTCGTAATAGCATTCTCTCATCTGCGCAGCATCAACAACAACAAGTGTGAAGTGTCGATTGCAGTTGAAAGGTCTCGAAGCTTTCATCAGCCCAGTATTCTTTCGCGAATTGCTCCGAGTTGCCACAAATGCCGGAGAAAGTCTTCAAGTAGAAGGTCATAAAACACGAGAACAAAGATACCTGATCCCCCATGCAATATTGGGCCGAGATGAGCATGAGCCCGTGGAATCCAGGCAGACATGTGCCCATGCTGTCGTAACCTTTTCTTATAGGGCAAGGAATTCCTTTACCCTTGTAATTCTGATTCTTCTACTTGTTCCCTAAGCATAGGAAGGTTATATAAAGGAGCTGTAAGCCATGCGACTGCTGTATCTATCAATCCATCAATACAATCACATAGTCGGAGAGGCGTTCCTCTCCCGTGGAATAGTCCTGACAAATCGTCAGGGATACCACCTAAATTCTTGTGTCTACTTTACTTTACGTACGATTTATTATGGTATCAGACCTTTAGGTCCTATTCATCGCTTCAGCTGTCATCAAGAGCGACGGAGAAGAGTCAAAGAAGCCGCAAGGATCTAGTACAAAAAATGATTTCGCGCCAATGGATCAGGGTTCGTTTGATCCAAGTTCTGAATATTATATGCATCCCACTGACCTCAATGGTCAACTACTGGTAGGTGAAGCACTTACTTCGTCAAATTATGGAGCATGGGTGGTCGATGTCATGCTCTCATAGTCAATAATAAGTTCGGATTTGTTGATGAAACCATTCCACAACCTACGGCAGATCCGAAACTGCGGGCATGGAATCTATGCGATGCAGTTGTCAAAGGGTGGCTTCAAATCTCCATGGATAAGGAGGTAAGAAGCAGCGTGCGTTACGCTAAAACGACAAAAGAGATATGGGATAATGTCAAGGCTCATTTTGGTCAGGGTAGTCTAACCCGGGGTTATGAATTTCGTCGGATGCTCAGTGGTTTTGGCAAGAAAAGCTGTTTGTTTCTTCCTTTTTGACACGCTAAAACACAACACCAAACTGCGACCAAGTGTATTCGCAGTCCGGAAATGCAGTAAGTGGCAAGCTCTATTTGTCAACCCGGGGCCTAGATCTACTGCCTACTCCATGATTATTTATTATCTAGCAAACTAAGTCGAGTGATTGTGGTTTTAACTAAAAACAGTAAGAACGCAGGAAATTGTTTGGTTTTCTAAAGCAAGGGAAGAGTCACTCGGGATTCGGGAATGAGTCGCCCTAGCTCCTTAGTTAGGTCACAATTGTAATTCCTTTTGGTTGCTTTACTGTTGATTATACTGCGGAAGATCCGACAGTAGCTTGGAATCTCTTAAGCTGACCAAGCCCTCTCAGTCAAACTACCCGACAGACGACTAGTCTTCACCGGGATAGAAAGCTGAGGCTATGAACACAGAACTCCACTACTGGAACTGAATTCCAGTACAAATCAGTAAATCGACTAACTCTCGTATAATCGATTCACTATTACCGATTGAAGAAGCTCTAACGACCTAATCAGATTCTATCTATCTCAGGTTGCAGCAAAAATCAATAAAAGATGATCAGATTTCAATTGACTCAATCAACACACTTCAATCGATTATAATCCAACAATATCACAATCCAAACGTCGTTACAACAATGATCTCTAACACATAGAACTAGGGTTCTTCATACCCAAGTGAGAGAGGGTTATACTTGTACATGGGCGCTGGGCCGTGCTTGGATCGACACGGCACGGGCACGCTTCGGGCCTATTTATTTCGTGTCGTGCTTGGCACGACCTGTCAGTTTTCGTGTCGTGCCATGCAAGCCCATTTGTTAACTTTGCTAGGCCCGGCCCAGGCCCGGGCACGGTTCGAATCGTGTCGTGCCTATTCGTGTTCGTGCCATGCTCGTATTCGTGTTTAATGAAAAGGACGAAAACAAAAGAGAGAATGAAAAATAAGGTGAAAATTGGACGGAGGGAGATAGTATTAATCGATAATGTCTGAGAAAAATAACAAATCATGGGGAAAAGAAAACTGGAAGTATAGCGAGTGTGATTTGGCTTTGTTTAATTCTTTATCCATTTTTACTTATGTTAGTAATTACGTATATATCTTTATGACACTTCTAACAACAACAAATACTACTTGTGTTTTGTAATATTTGAACCTATAATTCTTTTTATATTTATATTCGTGCCACGTTCGTTCTTATACTCAATAAAGTCTCGAAAATATTAGGCCCGACACGGCCCACTTATATACCGTGCCGTGCCCGTGCTCATGCCCGTGCCCATGAAGTTTAGGCCCGGCACGACCTATAAATTATTCGTGCTCGTGCCGGGATGGCCCATTTATTTCGTGCCCGTGCTCGTGTCGTGCTAGCCCGTGGGCGGCACGGCCCGGTGCCCACGTACAGTTCTACTCCATAGAGAGAGGAAAACAGCAAACAAAGCAGTCATACTCATCAAGATGGGAAGAATCTGCTCTGGGATGGTGATCTTCACTCCAAGGATGATTTCCAAGCTTGATTGATGAAACCCAGCTCCAAAATCACTCTTAGGGGGTGTTCTTCGCACTTTCTTTCTCTATGACTCTGTTTTTGCTCCAGAAAATCGATTCCCTCTCCTTAGGCTCGAAATTGGGTTAAATCCTAGAATTTCTCGACCACACGGCCAGGCCTGGCTTTCCAGTATGCCCGTGTGGATGTGAAAACGCCGCGTTTCAATTAAGTGGTCTTCAGGCACGCTGCACGGCCAGAAACGCACGACCGTGTGGATTTCCAGCCTGACCGTGTGAGCTCCCTGGAATTTCCACACGGCCACCAGGGGTCCAATACACGGCCAGTGTGGCTTGGCCGCGTAATGGGATTCCACACGGCCACACCACACAACCATGTGGCTGCTAGGTCTGGCCATGTGGATTCCTCAGCTTCTCGCCAGACGTCCAACTTTCGTCGAATCGACCCGAAACTCGCTCCCAAACCTCCAATCACGTACTAGGACCTGAAATAACACAAACGAGAACAACCTAGCGTGAAATCGGCCTAGGATACGAGAAATGAGGCTCAAACGACATAAGAATGGTGGATAAAAACATGTGTATATATCAAGTCATCAAATTCCCCCACATTTAACTGTTTGCTTGTCCCCAAGAAAACCAAGTTAGATACAAGGTAAGCTCAACACATTTCAATCATACCAACTTTGGGGACAAATCATATAGGCACATAACACGTGAATCATACTGGCTCTTGATCATTGACATATGGACAACTCAAAAGCAACCTAGGCAACCACCACAGAGGACATTCGAGTGCAGCAAAATCGGGTAAAGGAAGAGTCTCCCTTCTGTTCACCAACCAACATAGACTCGACTAAACCACTTAGCCAAGATAGTCATCGCATGCATCAAACTCAAGACATCAGAATCAAGACTGAGCCATCTAGGTCCTCATCGGGGTAAAAAGTATAAAGAACATGGAACTGAATCGATCACTCTCGACCAGTGGGGTCATGACAATTTGATGCGAAAAAATGCGCATGCTTATTCTCTCATTCCCTAACGTCTCTTCACCATGACGGCAACCTCTAAATTTTAGAGTTCACATATTGGGTGTCATCACTAACTAATCCGGAAGTCTTAGACACAGGTTCAAGTGACTGGCTAGGGTCTTGGACATGGGGAAAAAGCCTTTTAGGTGGTGGAAGTATTCATAGCACAAGGTTCCACAGTTCCAAACCCAACACATACACATCCATCAAACCACTTACTTTCTTTATGCTATTCTGCATTACTCAAATTCCTTAGAGCACAAGAGCGAAAGAGGTCACAATAATGTTAGTATTTCCAAGCCAGACTGCTAAGAAACAATAATTAATGAGCATGATTGAAATTTTTGGTACTTTT